GAGGAATTATTTTTAGGTTTTTGATATTGTTTGAATAACATCTTTATCTAGTGATTTTAAAAGAATTATTTGGATTTTAACATCTTTTATATGGTATTTGCTAATTTCTAAAAATGACTATTTTAAATTCCTACTGTTTTACATAGTATACTTGTTAGTTTCTAAAGGGAACTTAAAGTTTTTCTAGCCATTTGCCTTCAAGATGGAAAGGGAGCTGACACTTTGTGATGACTAGACCTGTGAAGTACATGGAAATTTGCTGTACTCCAGGGAAAAACCTTATAAGAGAAAAGCTACTACAAACACATAGTTACAACAATGAGAGGTAAAAAGTAATAGTCTACTTGACTGACAGGCTTGAGATGCAGCCTCTACTGGTTTTAACTCCTCCCCTTTTCTACATTGTGATTCTAAGCCTGTTTTTCTCTGGAATAGAGTTATTTCCCTCTTTGATACACATATGCTCTATGCTTGCTTATACTCCTGCACCATCATTCCCTGAGTGCTTTCTAGTTATAACATCAGGGTAATATTAATTATGTTGGTAAATTGTCACGTGTTGTTTGAGCTCACTGAGATGCTGACTCTGAAGATGGTATTGGCCCTCCCACTTCAGACTCAAGCTTATTATCTCCAGATGTGTTCTCCAAGACTTTTTCAGGCTGGCCCCCTGACCCAGTGAAGAGGAGGAGAACACCAAAACAGCCTTAGAGTAAAGGCACTGTGCAGTCAAGAACCGCTAAGGTGTAAATTAATTTCAACAGAGGGTATTACTGTCTATAATTAAAGAAAAAATACATCTTCCCGCCTTCTGCAGGAAGCAGAAGCCTCCCTTTTAAAAGGCCCCAGCTCAAGACCGGCAGACATTTTCCCTGCCTGGAAAGGAATCTGCCCCATGTGTTCTACCTCAAATCTATATGGAAACTTAACTCTTTCTTTAGGCCACTAATTACCTATACAAAATGACATCTAAACTTGTTGGGTAAAATCCTATTTGTTAAATACCATTTTTTTTTATTTATTTTACTTTCACGTTGTTTTAAGATGTATTCATTTTGTTTGTCTATTTCAAAGGTGTTTTCATTTAAAAATGATAAATCAACCACATTCTCAACAAAGACTATATAACCAAATATGTATATATAGTCAACATAAATTTACGCTTTTAAAAATTAATTTGCTGGTATCATATTAATTTTTAACTAAAATCTCATGCAAACTAAAAATGTTAAATTAACACCAAAATATTTTTTTCAGCCAAAATATTCTCTCTTTAATCTACAACATGGTTCCTAGTACTAAAATATATGTTAATTTTAAGTACTTCTCTCCCTCTCTCTCTTCCTCTCTCTTCCTCTCTCTTCCTCTCTCTCTCTCTCTCTCTCTCTCGCACACACACACACACACAGGGCTCTACTAAACCTCTACTAAACCACCGCCCTTCTAGGGCTCATCTTCCCTCAGACTCTACTAAACCTTGGGATCAACTTGTTCCACAAACTTCCCTCCCTTCTGGCTCCCTGCATTTTTCCCACTTTTCTCCCATCCCATTCTTTGTACTTTGTCTCCATCTACCGGCTGGTTGCACCACTCTCTCATTGCAGGGTTTTCTGCTCCTCTCACTTGCCTTGAAATCACATGTGTGTTGGAAAACCCTCTCCTTTCTCTGAATACAGGATGCTATTTCCAGAGATAGGAAGACATGCTGCTTCCTGTCCAGGACAGGATCTCACCTTTCCTCTCCCTGATGATGTGATTGTGGGACACCGCCTTCTGGAACTTGGAAATAACTAGAAAATAATAACTCAAACCTGATCAACAAAAAAAGGATGCTTCGTTTTGATGCCTGGTTCTCCTTGCTCTCGTTTTGCATGACTGATGCCAAACCCCTTTTCCTCCTCCTCCCTCCCCATCTCTCTCTTCCACATCTGCTACACTTTCCTGCCCAGACTTATGATCCTGCTTCCACTCCCTATGGAGAGAGGATTTTCTTTGTCTCCCATCTGCTCAGTTCTGTCTCTACCTCCTATCCACTTGCTTGGTTCTTATTCTAACTCCTCTTCACTCTACTTAATCTGTCACTATGGGAATCACCCACTCAAAGTCTCAGGGTCTCACACCTCTTGTTTATCTTCTTAAATCCTTAAAACAACTAGGATTTTTGGATACAATCAGGCCAAAACGCCTGAAGTTCCCGTGCACCACTGCCTGGCCTCAGTATGAGTTAGATAATGACTCTGTTTGGCCAGACACTGGAACCTTAAACTTCAATATTGTGAGAGATTTAGAAAATTTCTGCCATCATAAAGGCAAACAGTCTGAATTACCATACATCCAAGCTTTCTTTGATCTCTGTGCTAATCCCTCCCTCCTTGTCCCATGTTCTTCCTGTCAGGTTCTTCTGGCTGAGACAGTTTCACAGGATCCAAACCCACCAGGGGGCTTTCCTCTCTCTGCCCCACTACCCCTCCACCTCAGCTTTTGAAACTACCATAGCCGATGAACTGCCTCCAATTAGGGCCCATTCCCAACCTCCTCCTGCTCCCCAGCCTGAGGCACAGCCAAGTCCTCCCCATGCTCTCCCCTTGCTATATTCTCCCTTGTCTTCCATTCCAGGGCCCAACCCAGCTCCCCTCCTTTCTCCACCTCAAACCTCCCTCTCCATGCCACGATCTTCCCCCTCCCCTCTCTGGCACTGCTCTAAGTCCATCACCCACTCTCCTTCCACTGACTCTCCTCTACTCGAAGAAATCCAAACCCTTAAACACCTCCTTGCCAAATATTCCCTAGTCTCCCCTATTCTGGCTTCTAGCTCAAATAACCCATTTATCCCTCCTGAATCTACCTCTACTTCAATTCTAGATCCTGCCTCCAATACCCCTGCCCCTGCATCCCCTCATGGACAGGAGACCCCTCCCATCTCTCCCACCCTAGCCTCTTCCCAGGACTCCCCTTCTCCCAACCCCTCTCCTATGTCAAGCCATACTTGCTCCCACACCCAGTCTCAACCCCCTGCCCATGGTATCTTTCCCCCTCCAGGAGGTGGCAAGCATGGATGAGATGG